ACAAGAGCCTCAGCTTCCTGCTGCTAGCCAGTGCTTGCCTGGAGGTTTTGGTTTAGCCTGCCGGTGTTTTCCGGCCCCTCAGTTGCGCCGTGCGTTGGGGGATGGTAGCGGGGGGGAGGTTGGGGAGGGGGGGTTCCGACTCTAGGCGTACTCCATGTGGCCCTGGCCCTGCTGCCCTGTCCGGCTCGTGTCCCCCAGGCGCTCAGAGCTGGGCGGGGGCTTGATCTCGCTGGGCTTCGCGGAGAGGTAGTCTCGGACCTCCATCTCCATGTTCTTGGCCCTCAGAGTGGCCTTGTGAAGCTTCTCCAGGAAATCGGGCATTCCTAAAAACCAAGCACAACGGGGGACAAATGCAGCACACTTAGTACACTACACATGCAGTGCTCAGACTGTAGCAGGGCTGTCTGTTATAATGTATGCACTTTTTTTTTTTTACAGGGAGAAAGGTTATCCACTGGTTAGTGGTGTATGGGCTGTTTTAAAGAAAAGGACAAGTCAGAAAACAGGACTGTGCCCCAAGATTCACAGCACCATAACAGCGCACAAAGAAATAATCAAATGCCACAGCCTGTGTCCTACATTATTTTACCCATTAATATTTGTGAAAGGAGTAAATATAAGGGTTATTCAACTGATGCAATCTTGCAAATATCAAAAGGAATTTAAAGTATAAGGATGAGCTGCCAATATTTTATGCAAAAGCTTTAGTAAAGGATGAAAAATGTTAAGTGGCTGCAGTCAAAAGTTTAATATCCGAATGACAAGGACAAACCTTGTCAGGTTAGTTTTACATTAAAGAAACCTTCATCTATATTTTGCTTGCTGCTGCTTTTTATTTTAACATAAATTCACTCTGAAGGTACATCATGAGCTTCAAACAATTAGCCTGGTTTCTCCCTCTCCCACTTTACAGCCCCCCCGTGTCCTTGGCTCCGTTATGAATAATCCGCAGTGCATTGTGGGTGAAGAGAAGTGTCCTTACCGCTAGACACCATCCAGCTGACACAGTACCGTGGGAACACGGTCTGGGGGTCGTCGCTGTACGTCAGCAGGTAGTCAAAGCCGTTCTGCACAGAGGAGCACACTGTTCAGAGACACACCTCTCGCCGCAGTCACATGACCCCTTACCTCACATCCACAACACCACTGTTTCACTCTTCCGCACAAAGGGGGATAATGACTTCATTTAACAAAGATACAAAGAGCATTAACAAAGAAGGTGTGGGAGAAGTTCAAGAAGGGAAACTCATATCCCAGTGGACCTACGTAATCAATGATCAACAATACAAGCAGAAATGAGGAAGTATGAATGGAAAATACAAATCACATTCAACACAGAAAGTCAAACATTAAAAGGAAAGTTCCTACAGCATACAGTAGTGTACACTGATAATTATGTTCATGCTTGGCTGTAGTGTCTAGGGCTTTACTGTGCAAGTGTCCATGTGAATCAAAGGAGCAATAGATTTCCATGAGGTCCAATCATGTGAAATTGCAAACCTGTGCAATTTCTCCTGTAATTGGTCTTCACTGGAGAGCAGTGGATAACCTGCCACACATCGGACAGTCCAACTGGAACACCACCGATGCGTGTCTGTGAACCTACAACTCACCTCATCGAACGATTTGTGTGGGCGGATGACCATCTTGGATTGGTAGGACCTCACCCGCACGAAGTCCGCAGTCTCGGGCACAGTGGGGTGTTCCACCGTCCTGCAGGGGCCAAACAAAACAAACTTCAAAGGCACACGCAGTGTTAAAAAAAAAACTACGCACCTATATACGATATATCCGCCCATCTTCTATCCACTTTATCCCGTACAGGATCGCAGGGGAGCCAGAACCTATCCTGGCAAAGCAAGCAAGGTACATCCCGGACAGGACGCCAGTCCATCTCAGGGCACACGCAGACACGCACACACTCACACCAGGGCCACTTTTCCCAGAAGCCCAATTAAACTACCAGGATGTTTATGAACTGTGGACAAGACCATCCCAGATGGGACTCGAACCCACAATCACTGCCTTAGGGGTACAGTGCCTTATCCATTAGGCCACTATGAACTGTGGAAGGAAACCAGAGTGCCCAGAGGAAACCCATGCAAACACAGGGAGAACATACAAACTCCTCACAGCTAGCACCCAGGAACTGAACCCACAGCTCTTGAGCTGTGAGGCAGCAATGTTACTGTGCCACCATGCTTCCCTAAATAATATCCATTTAAAGAAGCCACAGAGATTTACAAAGCAACAGCCAATCAAAAGGCTCAACTGGAAATGTATGATGATTTCTATTTTCATTTGCATAGGGATGCATCTGCAGTTATGTGATAATCATTTCCAAAAATGAGGGAGAGACAGCACTGAGTCAGGTGAATTTAAGAGAGTAAATGCTCTAGCCTGCAGTAATTGGAACAAACGAATCAAGGAGTGCAGTGAGAATCGGAAACGTCCCTACCTGGACACTAAAATCATTAAATTGTTCTCCAGATCCACACTGTATCTGCGGACGTACACATAATCCCGGGAATACATCGGGTACTGAAAGAAAAAAAGAGCTCATGATGTATATACATACAGAAAGACTGAATATACTACATAATACACACAGAAAGACTTGACACGCATTATCTCTAGGGCTGCACTGCATAATAATCAAATTATGAATAAAACACAACATAAGAGCCAATTTTCAGTCGTCATTTATCACCTGTCACTCAGAGTACTGTCAACTGGAGATGTCCGAGATGTCAGGGCAGTTTCAGATATAGAGTGACCTGCTCAAGATGGTCAACGAGCTGGAAAACAGTCTGTTCACATATAAGACCCGAGTCTGGTCCTGTCCTGCAAAGTGTAACATGCCTGTTGGAGCTGTGCACTGTATGTAGAGGGTCCATAAAGACAGCCTTAACATCACTGAAGCTCTGTGAACACTTGCATGATGTGGAGACAGGAAAGCACTCTTGTGAGTCTGAGTCTTTGTCGTTGCTGTGTCATCATAGCCTCGTGATAAGGATCTGGGTGCATTTCAGACCGCATAGCCTCAGACAAAGCACATCACAATAAAACAAGCAGAAGTGTAGTGAGGCTGGGAAAGAGTTCAAGAAGAAACCTGCACTACAGTGCAGTGCTAAACCCAGTGCTCCTGGCAAACGAGGGACTCTTACTGGAAAGTGCGTGACCCAGTGCACCACTTCTGATCCAGTGATCTCGTCTCGATCGATCACTTCCAGCTTGATCACCAGGGCATCCCACTTCTTCCTGTACTCTGTGTCCAGCTGGGAGGGACAGAGAAGGAGTAAGATACACACAGACACCTGCTTCACTCGAGCAGGCCAGCACACTGAATGCTATCACTCATACACAAATACACTGGCACTGGTAAAATTACAAAACCTTCCAGCCTCAGGAGGACTTCTACATTTCTTTAGCTTAGAGGAAGCACGTGCAGAAACATGCTGAAAGAAAGTGCAGTTCCCTACCTGGACATTGAAGAACTGTCTGGGAGTGACATCAGTGTAGGTTCCCAGTACTGCACAGACACAGAAAGCAAGCGACGGATTAAAAAAGAAAAAAAAAACCCAGAGAAAAAGAATTAGAATTACATGGCCTTCCAACAAAAACGTAAAAACAATTTTACATGCGGCATGGCCTAGTTTGTAACCTGTCTTATGTTCTAGCTTAGTCTGATAAGACTGCGCGGTTGATACATTTAACAACATGTGTAGGAATGAAAAAGCTCAGGTGATTATTTGATTTAGGACATAAGACTGTGAGAAAACATACTTTTTATTAGGCCTTTAAAAAAAAGAGTGATAGCTTGTGCCCTGCGATAGACTGGCATCCCATCCAGGGTGTACCCTGCCTTGTGCCCAATGCTCGCTGTGACAGGCGACCCTGCACTGGACGAAGCGGTTTGAAAATGGATGGATGGAAGAAGGGAACCCACTGACCTCTGTACTCGTAGAGGTGGCTGTCAGGGATGGGCTTCCTCCACACGTAGAAGCCCTTCCGGTCCATCACGACCTCCCAGCCCTGCTCATAGCCCTGGTGGTGGTCCTTCTGCCAGCCCTCCGCGCTCAGGCGGCTCAGCAGCTCCACGTTCTGCATCTCACTGGCACACCTGCACAGGATCGGCACAGAGGGGCTCACTGCCTGCCCAACCCCCCCTCCCCCTCCCCGCACACACACAGAGGTGCGTCTCACAAGGATCAACCTTCAGGGCTCTGGGGTCTGAAGAGCAAGCCGCGGGCACTGAGTGAGAATGGCCATTCCACTGTGCCACAAAGCAGAAATGTTTGAAAACACTTCTGATTCTGCTTTGCAACTTGCAGCTTGGGCACAGACGGAACTGCATGCGTAAGACACACATGCAACCTTTGCATTAAATACACAACTTTTCTTGCATCTTTCTGCAAGATTTTATTTTTCTTTTGTTGCTATTTTAGAGGACAGGAATGTCCCACACACACTTTGCTCCTTTTTGCTTTCTCGGAATCATCATCACACACCAGTATCCTTCCAGGTCCTGGTGCACGCAGGTTATCAGAAGCTCCTTTCTTGTGCTCGGGACAACCTTGCAATAACCGACAGGTACACAGGAAACATCCCAACTTTCTCCGCTTGGAAGTAACTGCATTGTTACACTGACTCTGTCCTTTAACCTTTGACCCCAGCCACTGAAAGTAATTGTCAAGGGGGAATATTCTGATTAAAGTTTATTTCCCCATGTAGCCCCAGGAAATGACACCAGTAGCTTTGACATTGGCTTCTCAGAGCTTCTTTTCAAGTGTGATCTTCTATAATGTCTGTGATGCTTTCTACTGCAAACCTTATTGTGCTGCTTAATATTTGCCAAAGCACTAAACACATATCAGGTGGGCAGACTTTTTTCATGTCCTATAGGCCTGCCACTTACTATAAAAAAATGTGAAAGAATCATAGCAAAGTCAGATTCATTAAGAATTGGGGTATTCCTAAATTATTGTTTATTTTATCAATCTGCAAGCTCATTCTGACTGTTACATTCTTCTCTCCTTCTGAATTGCATTATCCAAGATAAATTATTCTCTTATTCTAGCAAATGCATTCTCTTTATTTAAGCACTGCATTTTTAAAAATCTGCTCAGCTACCACAGACATTACACTAATCCTAGCCTATATTTGCTGTATACTTGCTACCTGAATGCAGACCTCGATGAATCCCTGCACCAAACGCACTCAGAAGCCAGATGACAACAGATCTTTTCATACTCCGCTAACAAGTGTTCTTTCAATTCTGTTTTTGTTTGTTCCAGGACTCCCTGCAGAAAACCAAGAGGAATGTGCTGGACAGAGCTCTGGCTCCGTCTCTGCATTGTCTCCCACCATGTGACCGAGGGGGAGGCAGCTAGCTGTGTGCCCAGCGCGGTCATCTGGGTCCAGAGCTCTGACAGAGACCGACAGCAGAGACAAACTGGCCTTTGAGCCATGTCTGTCCACACCAGTTCCAAGGCATGTGTTATGCACACATCCCTGGTCAATGGCTGACCACTTCTGTGTTTAAGGTGCATGGTCAAGCATGTTCCTGAGAAATGAGAAAAAGAAGTAGCAAAAAAGACGATCTCTGAATTGTAAAATACAAACTATATTATTTCAAGATTCTAATGGATAACTGCTTCAAATAAAATACGGCAACTCAATGCACTACCTCGCTATTTTAATCACTGCCATGCATTTAAAGGCCTTCAATATTTATGTTGCACATCACATTTACATTAGTTCGGTTTATGTGCCAAACAAACAGCTTCACCTTTCCCAGAAGGCACACCTGTTACTGAGGGGCAAGGTGCTCTCCCACAAGGACTGGCCATTCCAACACGCTCTGCTGATACACTTATCAAAGTGTCCGGAGCAATAACATGTTGCACGATAAGGCTCCGCAGTTTAACACAAGCTCTAGGCAGAAAGCAGAAAAAGCTTTCCAAACACTTGAAAGGGAATCCCAACTTTCACAGCCGCAAATTGGATAAAAGAAAGTTCTGACTATATCAACCATTGTGAACTGAAGAGGTTATTTTAACCTGTAAGTCCTTTACTTCAATTGCTGCTCACAATAAAACTAAATAAGCAACACTGGTCTCAAGGAAATGGTTACACATTCTGTTGCATAAAAGATGGGTCAGTTGTTTCAGTTTTGAGGATCTGCAGAGCCTTGTGTAAGCCTCACTATCTGAATGGATACGCGCTTCTGCCTACTAAGGTTGGGTTGTGCATAACGCAGGTTGAGCCTTACTGGTTTGAACCTGGGTTTGAGACTGTGACCCAGGTTTCCAAGTGGTAGTTCACTGCTGTACAAGTACACCTGCAGCCAGTGTACCTGTGACTGACATGGAGCTCTGACGAGGGCAAACCAAGTTTCAGAGCAAGACATACACTTTCATCCTACATTTACTGGTGTGAAAATAATTGATTCAGTGTTTTACAAGAGCTCAAAAGCTTAATGAATTTAAAATCATAGCATGCATGCTGCTTTTCTGCTTTTTCAATTAGTACACCTGCCTGTGCCCAAAATGGGACATAAACGCTGTGCAAAGAAAGCCTTATTTTTTTGTATGGACCCCCAAAAAAATATTTTTCAGTAGTCCAGTCCAGGAAGGCAGCCAGTAGTAACAAAAAGAGACAAACAAGGTATAAGTTTCACCCAAGGACACAATACTCTCTGTAAGAGCATGAGTTTACATTACCTCATGACACTCCTACAACAATGGAGGGCATGAAAGAGTTTCAATGTTTCCTGCCAGAGTTAAAACACTACTGAGATACAGAGCTCAACTGGCAGTGCTTGGCACAGCTGAGCTGTTTTTAGCTCGCTCTGATTGGCAACCATTAACCACCTGTTCCATTCAGACAGTCACAACACTCTTTAAATGACCTCCGCAGCCAGCACAGAGACAGGAGGAGCATGAGGCCAGGCCAAGTCTAGGCACAGTTCTCAGAAGCACAAAGAACAGTGTTCAAATGGGCAGCCTGGACTGCCAACTGAAAGAAAACACCAAGCACAAAAAGGAACCGACACAGGCTGCAGGATTGTAGCAATGCTTTGGGTATTAAATGACTTGATCTGTACACCCTGCACAGAGAACCTCTTTCATCTTAACCAGCTGACCGGATAGGATCGTTTTCTGGACAGACTTTCCTACTTACATGCAAACAGAACACAACACTTAAGTGCTTGGGCTCTGAGCAATATTCTCTGGTGAAATCCCATCTCTCACTTCTTGGCTACAGTGCTCAGAGACATGAATGCACCTCATGACAGGCAGTCTGTATCTGTTCATGGTGCAAACTTATGATCATGTGCAGCACTGAAACAAGTCATCGCTGTCACATATCAAATGGCTACTGTTATAAGAAAACAAAAATTACTACTTTATATCCATGCTTTCTCTCATACATAAGCAAAATAAACATGTCACCTGTGATTTTACGATTACAAGAAGGCACTGTCACTTGAGACACGGAATGTCTGACAGTAAGGTGGGGTCTTACTTCGATGCATATTAAATAAAAGACCCTGTCTTGATTAGAATGACAACGGTCCACATTTCCTTTAAGAACAACTCAAATGTAATAATCAACATTTCAAGAGAAAAAAGATGGAGCTCTTTCCCCTGCAATCTGCTCACTCTGTAGAAAATTAATTCAGTCTGGCTGCTGGGCTGATAAAATCCTCTCAGCCACCTGCCCGTAGGTCTGATCTACTTGTATGTTGTTTTTTTTTTTCCCCCCACACTGAACCCCTTGTGCCACATACCTCTGGGGTCGCATTATATAGTGTCCCAAGGCACATTTACAGGGGTAACCGACTGAGAATAAAGATGCGAGGTTCCCTAGGGAGTCCTCCCTCTGGCATGAGAAGTTTCAACCCTCCCTGGCTTGTACATGGACTGATGACAGGGTCCCTGTTCACTCCTGACACGGCGCCTGCCAGCAGCTGTTGTATAAAGAGCCCTGAAGCACCTGCAGATGGCCCGTGCGTCTGAGGAGCTTGGGCTGCGATTTCACACAGATTCCTGACTGCTTCGCACCAGGCGAAGAGAAAGCAGACGCGCGTGGGTCAGGATGAACTTCACAAGCCCTTGCGGGAGTGAGGGCAAGGACTACAACGCCTGTCACACGCAGTGCTGCTAGCAAGCCGACTGCCTCCGAGTTTCATTATGAGCTTAACTACGAGTTCCTGCATCTCCTTGTCTGATAACGAGATTAAAGGAGCTCATGGAACAGGGTAATAGGCTTGTGGCGCAGTGTGGCCTCTGACTAGCGAGGACTTGCCCTTGTCCTGCTGACTTGAAGAACTGGCACAAGGAAATCAAAGACACCTCAAGAATCTGATAAGTCAAAACTACTCACTAGCCAGCACAGACTTGCTGGATCCTTGTTGCTGTGCATCCAAACAGCAAACATTATTTAAGAACTTGCATCAGACACTTTTCTTAACCATTTTCTATGAAGACCAATTCAACTTACGCAACATGAAATCCCCTGTAATGACATTATGGCAAACCACGGCTTACAACTGACGTGTCGTTAAGATTTGCAATTAGTGTACAAAAGAGCCAACAGATCCTACAGATTCAGAAAGCCTAGCATGGGCTGTAGCAAGAGCTACATTGAAAGCCAGTGGTTTCTATGTGATACAGTGTTGCTACAGGCCTATTTATAGTCAGTGCAGAAAAGCAGGATGCTCAGAACCTATACAACTTTCTACTGAATGAAACACCAATACTCTGGTGCACACCTATTGAATCTTTATTGCCCCAAAGTCAACTTGTCTTGCACACCAAGAGCTCCTAGACATATATAACATGTATGACAATAATACAATACAGCAACAGTACAATACCATGATACAAAACAATATTTAACAACACTGCTCAGTAAGGTCCCAGTCCAGTATGATAAGATTTAAAAAAAAAAGAATCACTTGGTAAAGTGTCTAAACAACAACAACAGAAACAAGACTCTTACCTCCAATCAACCTTTTCATTGTTCAACAATTTAATACTCTTAGGTATAATAAATGAAGTTAAAGGTCTCTTAGTCTTTATATAGTGGATCTGGTACCTCCTCTCAAACGGTAATAACGAGTATATCCTAAAATTTTAGTGGAAGAGAGGGGTCATCTAAGATTTTATATTTTTATATTGTCCAATAATATGGTCCTCCGATAGACATTATCGAGTGCAAGGATTAATCATCACTTTGTTCAACTTGTTTACGTTCTGCAAGGACAAGGCACCTCCCCAGCCCTGTATACAAAAGGTTAGAACGCTCTGAATAAAACTCTCATGAAATAGAGGTGTTAAACTATTATTATATATTCAATCACAGGCGACAGCCCGTAGTGAGGACCAGCCTGCCTCCAGCACTGCACTGCTCTCCGGTTCTCCTTACCTCTGCAGCTCGTCGTCTCTGATCTTCTCCTCTTCCCACATGAACACCCCGGCCAAGGCCGCCACCAGCTTGCCCGTGCGCGAAGACCGGCCCTGGAAGCGGCGCCACAGGCTCCCCATCAGGCTCCTGCGCGACCTCTCGGAGTACAGGCTGCCGTACAGCTCCCCGATCTGGTAAGCGCGGCGCAGCCTCTGCCCCGTCACGAAGCTGCACTGGTTGGCGATGATGGCGATCATGCCCTTCCCTCTCCCTTCCCCTGCGCCCTTCTGCAACCAGGAGAGCACCGAGCCCACCCGCCTGCCCAGCCACGCCGCGGCCCCGCTGCCCTCTCCGCAAAGCGTGCTCAGGGCAGCCAGCCTCGAGTGGCTCACGTTGTAAGAGCATAACCCGCTGGTCGGGCCGCGCTGAAGCGTCTTGAACATCACCCCCGCTCTGCGCCGCCGGCCTGGTTTACTGAAGTTGGCCCGGTTGCCGATTCCGACACGACACCGCAAGGCGAGCTCGGCAAAATCGCGAGTGAACGTGACACACGCCCCTCACCTCGCCAGGTACCGGATGATCTTGCAAAGGTCCTGACAAGAGAAGAAAAAAGGTCAGCGCAACGCAGTCTTTCGGTTGAGTGAAATGAACAGAAGGTGTGAGGGACTGTATAGCTTAAATGAGCTTTAAAGGAGAAAAACTTCCTCTTTTTCACTGGACCAGTCAGTTATTCTTGAAGCGAAAAACCACCATCACGCGCAAAACAAACCGAGATGGATTAGCCCTTTTCCGGATGTCTTAAATGGTAATTCTGCAATCAGATTCAGTTTTCACCAACTCCTTTTCTACACGCCTAATCAAGTTTGTTCGCTGGTAAACATGAAAAGGTGTTTGCAGTTTGCAGTGCTTAAAACGCAGCTCGTTAAAAGCTGTTAATGCTCTTTAAATCCGTGTGCGCGGTAACGTTTTATATTTGTTGACAACACTGATATAACAAAAGCTAAATAAAATCTGTAGATATTTTCAATTGCACCGTACACGTGAACTACATTTCAACAGCGAGCGAACGCATGAATTCCTGTTTTCCATTACAGTTATAAACAGTTAGCTGACATAAAACCATGCAGTTACAAGTGCATTTCCATACCAAATGACAACTCAGCAATCCATGAATTTCGCAAAACTTTCTTTGATGGTCTTGTTTTTGGAGCCTAATGACCACTGTACTGTATTTGATAGACGCACAACGCCTGTCGAATTATATTAGTCACGCCTAAAGATCTTATTCTAGGGCGCACTACATACGAAATGAATGCAATATCTTAGATGAAATGCAACGGAAAAGTGTACTTATTCCCTTAATTAGTTTAATCTAGAAAAGACGCCCGTCTATTTACCCTTCAACAGCCACATTAGCCTGTAATGTAACCCCCCAGTAGCTCTCACATGTCTTCTCTCTCATCAACCCATTATCCACGCCCCGTCCATAAGATCCGCCCCTCGACTCCCTCCATTGGTTCAACCAGCAAATAGTCGAGTTCAAATTGGTTCCTGCATCTGTCCATCATGTTTTCTGACCACCTCCCACAAGCAAGTTTGTGTGACGAACACGTGACGAATATTTTCGGGGTCAGTACAGTAATAGGCCCCATCCAAGTGTTCCTAGGAAAGGTTAAAGAACGGCTTTAGCGATGCCTGTTTCCAACTGGATGTGTTATTTGTAGGCTTCTGCTTAATGTATCCGTCCCTGTAGGTACATTTTAATTTAGCGATATGGGTTTCCGTAAGAGGCATTCACCGAGCAAACAGCTCAGGACTAAGAGATTAATTTGCTTAAATATGAAGCGCAGTCATGTTTGAATTTGCTGCTGTAATGCAGTGTAAAAAAACAATTTTCGATATTCAGGATGCAGTTGTTGGCATTATGCACAAGTATTGTAAAGCATAAAAGCGTTGAGCTGGTAATACTTTTCTGGAGGACAACGGTGGAGCAAGCGTGCTTTCACCTATTTTAGAGAGGTGGTCAAACGTCAACTCTTTCTAGGGACAGAGTCGTGTTTTGAAGGGCAAGAGAAGAGGATCGGACGTACGGTCTTGAAAACAACGTAGGCGAAGGTGTGTTGTAAGCTTTGTACTTACAACGGACTCCTAGCAAACGTGAGCAGCTCCTCAGGAAGTCATGTATATAAACACGTGACCTAAACGAGGACCTGTGGTCTCACCTTCAAAGGGAGTGTTTAATAAGTGATGCTGTTACCTCATTTCCAAGACCGTCACGGTTACAAAATAGTTCAGTTTTAAAAACATGTGCCACGTTCACATCTGAAACTAAGACGTTTACACCCATACCAGACTACCCATTTCGACACCAGATAGCGACTTCTGTCATTATTAATTACCTTTGCCCATACATTCAGATGACTGCAAAAGAATCTCCATTTATCCACATGCTATACATGCATGTGTATAACACTGCCCTAGGCTAGGACTGCCAGCCCTTTATCCGCTCATGTATGGACAGCATGTTGCACTAATGTACTTTGTTGGACACCGCATTAATATACTGTAGTAGTTCACGTGGGGAGCTGCGTCAGCGTGCGTAGGCAGCAAAGGAACAAGTAATAGGTTTATTCCATGCTGAAAAGAGACGAAATAAAACAAGGTTTCGGCCGTGGAGCTTTCTTCAGGTGTGAGGGAGACAAGGCAGTAGGCAAAGGTAATGTAGCGGGAGAACAAAAGCTGGGAGAGAGCAGGAGCGAGGGGCGGGAGCAGGGGACAGAAAGGCCAATCAGGAGGTGTGAAATGAAACCAACAATGAAGAGAGAGAATTTAGAAGAAAAATAATATACTGTTCTGAAAAAAATAATATACTGTTTATACTGTGGTACTTTCAATCTGTATATACCTATGTGAATTTTGCACATATTTTATTTTTATACTGTGACTCTTAGCATATTTTGCACACCTATTTATTTTACTTTGTATTGCTGTACTTATTTTAATGCTTAGTCTATTCAGATGTCTGTTTTTTCTTGTCTTGGGCTGGGCTGCTATAACAGCTCAGTTTCCCTTCGGGATCAAGTCTTATCTATGGCTAAAAATCCATTTGGAGAGTAATGTTTTAAAGGTACAGCTTTTAAAAGGTATGGCTAAGGAGAAGGAGTCAGAAAACACAGTCTATTTCAAACGATTGAATTCAGCATTTGATATTTTTTATTTTTTCACCAAGTAAAAAAAAAACAAGAACAAAACCCAACAATTAGAAGCCCTACAGATGACTGAACACAAATCAGTGTTTCACCTCACAATTTACTCACACTAACACCAACAGTGATAGTAAACAGAACAATACAAAAGAGAATAAAAATATAACAACCCCTTGAATACATTTTAAATTAAAACAAAGCCATGATTAAATATTAAATGGTTGCAAATTCAAAACTTACATACCATTCACGATCTGGTAGAGGGTCAGTTTGAAACCATGCAGGAGTTACACTGTCATATATAACACAATCTTGTGGAGATGACGCAGTGCACAGGGCAAGAGTGTGATTTATGGCCACAAAAAATGGTGGTGGGATTTGTGCAGATTCCTTTGACAGCACAACGCTGATCCGATCCATCCACATCGCGACACTGTGCGATCCCAACACGAAAGGCATCTGGGTGGATCTTATTTGCTCCGACTCCGACTGCAATGGAGGCAAATGCAATCTGAACCCTCACCAACTTCCCCCAACCAGCCCATTCTATGCACGATTCCCCAAAGCCATGGGCAAGCCAACAGCTGAAGGAGCTAGTTCACAATTGGCGGGTGACTGCTTCTGTTACTCTTTGCACATCTAGATGAAAGGAAAGAGAGGTTGCTGCATGGGATTTTAACACTTATTGGCTGGTTTAGGGTTAAGTTGCTAGACGTAGGGAAAAGGGTTTTTTGAGGTTCGATGACAGCTGAAATGAACCCTAGCAAATACCAGTCCCGGACCTTTGCATGCAATGGTGATTCCCCTTGCCTGTTCGAGGTCAGACACCTTCACACCACTCAATCAAGTCTTTTGGGATCACTTTCCAACACCAGTCCGAGTCCAAAGTTCTCACACGAGTTTTCTGAACCACAGCAAAAAAAAACCAACATAAACAGATGGATATGGATATGTATAAAGTGACACCAGCATTGACAATGACTTTGGCTTTGATCCGAAAATACTTAAATCAGACAGAACAAAACCTCCATAGCGTAAAGCAACATGTATGAGCTTGACAAAGCAGCAACACTATAAAGCCAGGAGTATGCTCAAACAATTTTCAACACAAAGCCAAAGCCTCCTGTTGTTTTAACATTCAACACATATTTTAGGAACTCATTTTCACGGCACTGTTTTCTCAAGTCTGTCATTCACACTCATTCACTCTTGTAAAACAGAATGCTTGAGTCCTGGCTTGGGAAGGCCTGTGGCCTGTTAGCTGCGTGGCTGTGAGGTGTGGTTCTGCTGGGCTGGGCTGGAGGAATCTGTGGAGTGTCCACAAAGTGCTGTCCAAGCATAACAGTCAAGACAGAGAAACTACACAGGCACAATTCAAATGTCTCTTGCACTGCGAAGTTCAAAAACAAAGTGAGAAGGCTGAAACACGTGACTATATACATAATACAGCTGCTTTAAAAAATTCTGTTGAACGCTACACAATCTTTAATTGAACCCTCTTCTTTTTGCAAGGGGTTCTGTTTTTTTTTCAACATAATAATCTTAAATAATTATATATAAAAGAGGGTGGTGATTAACAATACACATTCCTCAACATCTGGCCCCCGGTTTAAAATATCAGTGATTTGCACTGTATGGATTGAAAATGATTAATACCTGCTTCAAAATACTACTTTTAAAATGGATATCATCAGCAACCTGTTTCTTTAACAACCTCAGAGCCACAGAGAATGAAGTACTATATAAGCACTGTGGGAAAATGATAAAAGAAGCCAAAATGTTAAACTGCCAGAGAAGTTTTGGGAGAAAGACTTTGGCACTTTTCCTAAATTCTTAGTCCAGTGTGAAATATCAGAATAATACATTTCAGCTTCCACTGGGATTCTGACCTGACTGTTTCAAAGGCTGAATGTCTGTGTTGAGCGAGACTTCAGGCCAATGTACAGAACCACAGTACAGAATTGTACAATATAAATTGTGTAATCTGAAAGAAAACAGGACTGGTAAGATGAATTCACACCTAGAGCAGTTTAAAGAGAATCAGGGGAATGTGCAGGAAATGGACACTCTATACTAGGATTTTCCACAGTGTAGATTACTGCAAATGAAACTTGAAACTTTTTGTATTTCAGCATTGCACTAGAACGGGCATCTCCAACCGTACTCCTGGAGAGCCCCAGTAAACCAAAGCCAATGAGTCGTCAATCACCAAAGACGGGGAATAAATCACCTGCATTGAATCACTATTTTCTACATGAACATAATTTAGAAATCTGAAGATCAAAAGCTCCCTTAATCAAGCACTCTGTAGATTGCTTGATGATTACTAAAACATTCCCAGTCTTCAGAAACAGGTGATTTGGGGTTATCTATTAGACTTCCTGGATCGGGGGTGTCTAGTAGCAGGGCAGGGGACCCCAGTGATGCTATAATCTGTTCTTCGGCTGTGTCTAGACAAAAATGGCACACGGAGGGCAAAACATACTAGGAATTGCAGAACATGAAGGACATTTTCAGCAGGAATCTTCACCGTCCTTACATAACGACTCTAATTCAGTAGTTACCAGATGGAATACTTCTGCCTCAATGTCTAAGTGTGAACCCAGCTTTAGGAAAAGGCTCCTATGGGTAGGTCCTCAGTGACCTGGATCCCTCCAATTCCAGTTCTTTCGCATTCCAAGGTTTTGGACCGATCAGTTAGATGATCAATTTACAGATGTGGCTACAACAAAGTCCAGTGTTAGAGGAGACAGGGAGGTGGGGTCGTCTGGGAACCTCTTTGAGCTGCTGAAATTGCAGGAGCAGTGGAGTACAGATCCGACCCCCTGGGACAGGCCAGCTGGGTAAAGTGCTGGGTGCACACCCCTGACTCGTGCGTGCGTGCGTGTTTGCGTGTGTGGGGGCAGGGGGTGGCCGAAGGGCGGCGCAGGCCTGGTTTAGGGCGTGTAAGCAGGAGGGGGCTGGAACTGATTGGCAATGTCATAGTCAGCGGGGTACGTCTCGCTGCTCTCCTCCATCTCCGACAGCAGCTCCAGGGCCTGCTCCTCTTCCTCCGTAGGGTAGTGGCGCAGCAGGTTGGCGGCCGTGGCCAGGATGGAGGCCCCCCCGGCTCCAGCCACCAGGTAGAAACTGATGGCGAAGGTGACGTAGATGAGGGAGCCGTGGTACTTCTTGTGCTGCTGCTGGAGAGACAGGATGAGTTCGGAGGCCCAGTAGCAGAAGCCAATCACCGTGGCGCACTGCAACACTGCAGGAGAGGGGAGACGAATGACAAAGCAGAATGAACACAGCTTTGGGCCACACTGACATATCACACTTATCACCACTGCACACTTTCCCCAAGATCTTACTCGGCACTCCTTGAAAGTAAGACACAGTAAGTTACAGCAAGACTACCCATAGGTAATGCAACTGTTCCTTTCTGATGACATTAGCAGTTTCTTTGGGCTTGTTCCCTGGTTCTTCCCTGTGTTGGCCCGCTGGTCCAGAAACACAAGCTCCAGCTACCTGTGAGGATGTGTGCGAAGGCATAGCGGCGGGTGATTTTGAGGGCTGGGTGCTTGGGGCCGAAGACGTCCAGCAGGAAGGCACTCAGGCTGCAAAGTATGCCCAGGAAGCAGAAGGCAGCGATGACACGCAGCAGCAGGACAGTCTGGGGGTTCATGCAGTAACCTGTACAGAGGACGCACAGAGAACACGGAGGAGAATTAGTCTTTCTCTCTTTTATGGGATGAACAACAACAGTTCTGATCGCTGTCACAGTGAAGGTATGAGAAGGAAACAGGAAGTGCACCATCTCAGTAGGTCTGCATTCCGTCTGCAAAACCAAGTCATTAACAACTCCAGTTTTCTCTTTAAGAAAGTTGGATGAATAGAACTAAGTCTAGATTTCATTCAATACAAAAAAAATACTAAGTGAAAAATACCTCCTATCAGCGTGCTGCTGCTTTAAATCTGGGATAACTTGCATACAAATGTTCATTGCTTTCAAAAACCAATTGAACAATGCAGGAGAGAGTAGAAATACAAACTCAATCCACTCTGTTTTATCTTTCGCAATGAAAAGACAGCTTTGGCTTTTGGCAGAATACAACCTCCCTCAGCAGCTGCAGACGGCCATGCCTTGTCTGTCTCGTCACAATGAGTCACAGCTAAAGCTCGTCAAAGGTTTCAGTTCCAGACTCGCAGTCGTACAGAACCACAGCCTGTTGCCTAAATTCACACGGCCTTGAGCTATTGCTGGTCATGCTCTACCTCAAGTTCCTGGTTTTGAAAAGATTCTTCCTCGTTTCTGTTGTTCCTGCTATAGCAAATCCTAAACGTATTTCTCAAGAAAACCAGGGAATTTTGGCAAGGTGATACCACAAACAAACGTATTAAATGTTTTGTGAAAAACAGCTCTTATTCCGTACTAAGTGCCTCAATATATATGACAGTAGACAAATTGTAATAACACTGACATCAACACAAGATCCTACGCTATAGTCTTGCAAAATCCTTTGTAATCTTCAGAGAAAGAGTCACTGCAAATATTACTCCATACAAATTTCAGTTCCACTTAAGAGTCTTCTGGCCTATATCTGGTCTGCCTCAATCCATCTGTCCAGTTTCTAACTGCTTTATCCCATACAGGGTCGCAGGGAAGCTGGAGCCTACCCCAGCAAGCAATGGACACAAGGCAGGATACACCCTGGATAAGACACCAGTCCATCACTGGGAAAACACACACACTCTGACTCATTTTCCAAGATGTCCCTGGACTGTGGGAGGAAGCTCACACGAACACGGACAGAGCATACAGACTCCACACAGAAGTGACCCCAGGAACTGAATCCAAGACCCCAGCTCCATGAAACAGCAATAGGAACCACTGTGCCCCCATGCTGCCCCCACCTGCCTAAATGTCCTCACTAATTCCATTAGTGATGTAAAATCTCGGCTGAGTTGCTGGTACAGACTGGGTGCTACACATCACACAGCTAGTGAAGTGTGTCCCCTCCGATTTGTAAAGAGCTTTTGGGATGAAATGATTTAAAATTCCAAAAATTGAGTTTCTGATTTTAGGATTCCTTCATAATAGTAAGGTTTGAGAGTTTCTATGAGCTTTCTCAGCGCACAGGCCTGAAAATTATTAATAATAATAAATAACAATTCCTTACACGTATATAGTGCTTTTCTGGACACTCCACTCAAAGCACTTTACAGGTAATGGGGACTCCCCTGCACCACCATGATGTGACGGCAGCCATAGTGCGCCAGAACGCTCACCACACACCAGCTATCAGTGGGGAGGAGAGCAGAATAATGAAGCCAATTCATAGATATTATTAGGAGGCCATGATTGGTAAAGGCCAGGACACAGGAGTAACACCCCTGCTCTATTTGAGAAATGCTTTGGGATTTTTAATGACCACATAGAGTCAGGGCCTCGGTTTTAAGTCTCATCCGAAGGACGGTGCCTTTTCTACAGTATAGTGTCCCCATCACTATACTGGGGGATTAGGACCCATACAGACCGCAGAGTGAGCGCCCCCTACTGGCCCCACTAACACCTCTTCCAGCAGCAACCTCAGCTTTCCCAGGTACTGGTCAAGCTCACACCTTACTTTCAGTGGGCTGCCAGCTGGGAGTTGCAGAGTGATAAAGCTGTTTAACCATTAGGTTTCATGTTGGACAACATTACATGTTGTTTATGGGGATTTAAAATGTAAATGACATGTAACAAGTTACACATAATACACCTAGATTTATGACAATAGCCCCTGAATAAAATAGATGATTCTTATTACAAGCTTCTTCCACAAACGATAAAGAACTTATTAACAGGTTTTACATCGCATCCGAAGGACGGCGCCTTTTTACAGTATACTTAATTAAGTCAATTAAGTTCAGATTTAACGGTGCAGTACGTCGATGGTTACCTTCCAACAGCTTAGGGTCCACATATCCCAGGACATCCGCTACGCCGAGCTCCTGTCGCGGGCAGGCCCCCCCGTGAACGCGCAGCCAGGCCGGCTCGGCCAGCGCAGTGCACAAGGCGGTGATGGACAGGGCTCCGGGCAGCGCCGAGGCCAGGCTCCTCTCGGGCTGCTTCGGGAGAGCGCTCCCCCCCGGCCCTCGCCTTCGCCGGCTCCCAGGCAGCCCGGGTCCCGGTGGCGCGTACATGTCGCCCACAGACGTGCTCTAATAACAGGCAACTAGCAGAGAAGGCGGTCTGGGTTTACAACAACCGCCCGCCGCTTTTAAAAGTGGTTAATTTAAATCCCGCCCGAGCCAGGCTTAAAACCCGAACACACAAATGGTAAACTATTCAACTATGAAATGATAAGGATTAAGTTCTATATTAAGACTGTAGATCTGAATGGATACTTAATGTATACACCGGCCGGGAAACAGCACAGAATTCCTTTTGTTACAGCGATTAGGACATTCAGCGGTCTTGCGTTTACGACGTCGTTAAATTCATTCGAATATTATGTAATCGCTAAACATTAGCCAGAAAAGGATTTTAAAATTCGAAACACTACAATCAAATCGCATTAAGTAACAAACAACACTATCAGAATATTTTGGTTGTATGAACTATGTCTCCCGGCCTATGAAGACTTAACTAGGTAGTAAACTACAGTTTTGTGTAGTGGTATTTATCGACAAAAGTTCTGTACCCGGATCGGGTCTATATCGACTTGAATTACGGTGTCGAAAATCCCGGTTCCGATCTAACACTAAAATCATTAAATTATCGTCTAATTGTCTCTGGAAAACAAAAGACAACCTATCTCCTTCTGTGCTTCCTGTTTCCCGGAGGTGACAGCAAGTGACGTCTGATGGCGTAACTACCGTCCAAGAAGGTAATGAATTCTGGTAGTTGAAGTTGTTGAATATTTTCAAACTTTCTAACGGAAATGTATTTTATGACTTTTAAGAGGAAACGTAGTAACAGTAATAGTAAATTCCATGTTCGTTGACCCTTAATAGGCCACTACACATCTGTGAAGTCGACTGTCTTGTCTCCGCTTCATAGTTTCTCTGAACTATTTCAGATCATAAACTCAAGTTCCCAGAGTGCCCCTCGGCTGACTGACATAATCGAGGAGTGTGCGAAAAAGCACAAGTCTTTTGCACAGTTTACATTTCGGGGCTGAATGTATTAAAATATTGGTGTTATTTCCTGAAAAGGGATTAATGTAGATGTGTAACCCGTCGGTTAATCTGCGATTGTCTTCGGCGGTTATTAGCAGCTGCTGATAACTGCTGTGTTAATAGCGTTTTGTGAAGCACCGTAGTTGGTTAGCGTACAATTTTTAAGTTTCGGCTTTTACCAGGGGTCACCAAAGCACGGTAGTCATAAGTATCATCATGAAAGACTCACTAAAACTGGTCACAAAGTTCAGCGGCCATCCAGATTCGAGGTGCTGGTACGTGGCGTGGAACCCCAATGGGACCCTGCTGGCTTCTTCGGGCGGCGACAGGGCCATTCGAATATGGGGCCGAGAAGGTATGTTCACCCGCAGGCGGCGGGCACTTTCAAGCTTCAGTCTGTGCGTCGTTTTAGCTCTGCTGACAAAACTGCGCGCCAGCTTGCTTAACTGACCTACTGCGCCGCGAAAATAAAGAGACCCTGGTGCACATATCGAGCCACAACGTGTCTGTTACTGACGTGCAGTTCATAATTGAGGCATGTAAGAGTAAAAAGTGATCTGAAATACTGGACAAATACCGAATCTAACCTACCTTTCCGGATATATCTGTCAATGCAGGAACTGCTCACCGTTTATATTTTTAAGCATTAGCTGACAGTAAACATGCAACATTTAAATTCGCTTGATTTAGGAGAGTTCAAGTTTTATACTCAAGTTTAACTGGCACTGCATGTGTGCCGGAACGTTACCTTTCAGTTCAGAAGCATGATGTTAAAACAAATGGATAATGCGAACGCTCTTCAGCCGTCCTCCCCCGCGCATTTCTTCCCTGGATGTCTGCTCTTCCCTTACTCTCTTCCCTCCGGCGGCTGTGCAGGTGATGCCTGGGTGTGCAAGTCAGTCCTGCAGGACGGGCACCAGCGGACTGTGCGGAAGGTGGCCTGGTCTCCGTGCGGCACGTACCTGGCCTCGGCCAGCTTTGACGCCACCACGTGCATTTGGCGGAAGAAGGAGGACGATTTCGAGGTAACGTTAGCCCAGCGCCTGTCCGAGCAGAGAGAGGTCCTGACCCAGAGGAGTTACCTGGATAAGGACCCGGGTTTTTTTCAACGCGGTTAAAATGGGCGTTTTCTGTCTTGTCTGTCTTTCTGTCACAGTCTCTGACCACTCTGGAGGGTCACGAAAACGAGGTGAAGTGCGTGGCGTGGGCCCCCTCGGGCTCCCTGCTGGCTACCTGCAGCAGAGACAAGAGTGTGTGGGTCTGGGAAGGTCAGTACAGCGCCGACTCCTCTCACCCCTGCTGGGGCTTGCTTACCTGTTGGACCTGCAACCCTGCTGTTAAATCCAAGTTAATTGTCTTTCTTTTTTTTTTCTTTAAAAGAGGAGGAGGGTGGCTGATGTAAAAAGTATGGTTTATTTTGAAAAAATAAGCAGGGCACTTACATTTTTTCCTCAGTAAACAAACTCCAGTTGTTTTAGTTGCAGTCAATACACAGTTTTAAGTGAGATTTCTTTAAATATTCCCATATGTTTAGTCATTTTCTTCTAGTGCCAGAGGCAGTGCCAATATTCCACTTATCTTCTGTCATGTGATTTGACGGCTTATGTAATCAAGCGTCACTTGATTAGTGGTCTGTAGCCACTGATTGACTGGAAAGCCCATCAGGACTGGTGGTCTTGAGGACGAGAGTGGGAGACCAGATTTCTGAAGGACCACAATCTGGCTGGCTTTTTTTCTGAGCTCCGACAGTGGTTTAAGGAAACCTGCCGGACTGGTGCTGAGTGCCAGCTGACCCGCTGTCTGTCTTGCAGTGGACGAGGAAGAGGAGTACGAGTGTGTCAGTGTGGTGAACTCCCACACTCAGGACGTCAAGCACGTGGTATGGCACCCCACGCAGGAGGTACGACTCTGCTGTCTTCCCCGTGTGCGGGGTAGGGCTCTGTCATTGCTGCAGTCTGTGATCCCCCTCTCTCTCTCGATTGCTCAGACCCAGTCTCTCCCACAGCCTGTTCCTCTTCTGCTTCCCTTCTTGTTTTCATCCAGTGCATAATGAAGTAGGCTTGAAGAAGACCTTTTTATTATCACCAGTATTTAGAAAATTATAGATTTTCACATATCTGCCAAAGCTTAAGGAAAAGCACCTGTCGAGGTTTTTTAAGAGCTCGAAACAATGAAAAAAGCAGCTTGCCCCTTCAATGAAGGGTTTAAGTAAGGGTGTAAGGACGGAGTGGGGAAATGACTGCTGTCCGTCACATGTGATAAACCCAATAATCCAGGGGTCTATATGGAAGTGCATATAAATGGAGAACAGGAGGCGCTTCTTTACCGAAAGGGCGATGGGTGTCTGGAACAAGCTACCCAGCCATGTTATTGAAGCTGAAACCCTGGGCTTTTTCAGGAAACAGCTTAATGAGATCCTTGGATCCATGAATTACTAGCTGCCAATTAGAGTGAATGATCTCTTCTCCTTTTAAGCTCTTAGCAGTTGATATCCTCTCTTTGTTTGCTGGAAGCTGCCTGTGAAGCGTAAGCGTCTCAGTTTGTAGACAGGCTGAATCTTCGGCGCAGCCGGGACGCTCTTTCCTTCCTCTCTAGAATATTCTCTCCTGGCCCTGTGGTTGAAAACTCCAGTGGTCTCAGCTTGTCGTGCGTCTCTCTCTCCTCCCCCCCCACGCAGCTCCTGGCCTCGGCCAGCTACGACAACGCGGTGAAGCTGTACCACGAGGACGATGACGACTGGGTGTGCCTGACCACCCTGGAGGGCCACGAGTCCACCGTGTGGAGCCTGGCCTTCGACCAGAGCGGCGGGCGGCTGGCCTCCTGCAGTGATGACCGGACCGTCCGCATCTGGAAGGAGTATCGCCCCGGCAACGAGCAAGGTCTGCAGCAGTCACTCCCCTGGTTCAAGTGTCCAGGAAAGATGAGCCTGTTTCATATCTCGGTTTTGGGACTCTGACGTGCCTCTGCAGGGGATTAGTAAGGACCCTTCTGGTTCCCCTAGTTCTTTATGCTGAAGCATGTTACAAGTTTGGTCTAATCTTAAATGCCTTAGGATGGCATGGAGGTGCAGTGGTCAGCACTGATACCTCACAGTGCTGGGGCTCTGGGGTTCAATTCCAGACCTGGGATGCTGTCTGTGAGGAGTTTGTATGTTCTCCCATGCTCATGTGGGTTTCCTCTCACAGTACCAAAAAGATACCGGTAGGCTAATTGGCTTCTGTGAAAATTGGTCCTGGCATGTGTGTGTGCATGTTTGAGTCTGTGTGTGTGCCCTGCGCTCGACTGGTGTCCCACCCATGGTGTATCCTGCCATGTGCCCATTGTTTAGCAGCTTGCATTAAAATTGGAACGTTAAAATATTAAAATAACATTAAAATAACAGCTGAATCCAAGCAAATACCACAGTAGGACAGAGCCACGACGGGTGATGTCAGATGAGGAGGGTTTGTGTTGGGTCTGAAACGGTGTGTGTTTTGCAGGAGTGGTGTGCAATGGGACTGACCCCACCTGGAAGTGCATCTGCACTCTGTCCGGCTATCACACGCGCACCATCTACGACATTTCCTGGTAAGATTCCTCCTCCCAACTGGTACTGTTTAAGGGAGAAACAAACACTGTTTTACTCTATGGTGGAAATAGATGAACAAGATGCACTTCCATCTTCCCACATGGCTACAGGTTCCTTTCCCACTGTTTCCCGAGACTTTCAGTCCAGTCCCACTGCCAAGACATTTAGACCTAAAAACCAAATAGCAACTTTTATAGATTTTTTAAAATAGTTTTAGACCACAGCCACTGTATGTCAGAAAAGCTAGAAACAGACTTTTGCCTCCATCATTCAGTGCAGGCGGAAGTCTGAATTTCCCAGAATTCCTGTATACCACTGGTATAAGACAACTGTCTCTATTGTGCTGCCAGGTGTCACCTGACTGGCGCCATAGCGACAGCCTGCGGCGATGATGCCATCCGCGTGTTCGAGGAGGAGTCTTCCTCCGACCCCCACCAGCCCACCTTCTCCCTGATGGGCCATGTGGCTAAGGCCCACGCACAGGATGTCAACTGTGTGGCCTGGAACCCCAAGGAGGCGGGGCTTCTGGCCTCCTGCAGTGACGATGGGGAGATTGGCATCTGGAGCTACCAATCCCAGGCCTGATGGGGCTGGCCTCCTGTGAAGCAGGATCCAATAAAAACCAACCAGTGAGATACTTTCAGCGAGCATATTCAGCACTAACAGGAAATTGCCACTGATGGAAATTCCAGTTCCCCGTTTGCCTCAGTGTTAAAAAAAATACACAAACTAGGCTACTTTAGTTTTGCAATCCGGTGAAAGTGGTTGATTTGGGGGAAATCTGTGTGAAGATCACATCATCTGAATATTATTTTATATAAGCACAGGTATGTTTCATTTCTCTTGTACATTTTTGGCATACCAGGCTTATCTGAGTTGTTACTGCTGTGAGGATATTTTTGGTCTTGAAAGGGAGACGAGCAAGGACCAACCCGAGCGCTTTTTCATATGTTTGCAATGTGTGTTAATTTTTAACTGATGATAATGGCACTGTAAAATGACAATCCGGCGCGGGTCTAAGGATTTTTTGTGACTTGAAAAGATTCAACTTTACTTAGTAATGTCACATTTATGCATATATTTTACAACAGGCAATTTAATGTACAGTGGACACTAAAATAAAACTGCTCCGCAGGTGAAGAGGCTGGATGATGTCGCTAAAGAGGCAGGCTTTTCTTCTCACTGGTTTTGAAAACTGCACATTAATTCCGGTTAAATAACAAAAATGCACTGTTACTGAGCGTTCTGGCATGTACTGTAGAATAAAATGCAATTCCACCAGAGTAAGCTCATTTAAAAAGGTTTTATTTATGATGCTAGATTAGAAAATCTGTGGCTTCTCAATTTTCCAGGAAGGCAGTCCAGTTGTATAGACACACCCCAACTGAAATTTCAGCTGTTGTTGATGTGAAGGCTGAAATCAAGACAAACCATGTCAGACCTTTTTTCACCCTTAATAAGATCTTGTAACCAACAACATTTAAGTGAAAAACAAATCTATCCTTTTTAGGAAAAATAATTACAAATAAAAAAAACTTTCAATGCCTTGATGGCATAAGTGTGCACACCCTTATAGTAATACTTTGTGGAAGCACCTTTTGCTTTGATTACAACAGTAAACCTGTTTGGATAGGTCTCTATCAACGTAGCAAGCCTGGATTTTGCAATTCTATTCCGCTCTTCTTTGTAGAAGAGTTCACGCTCAGTCAAATTGCAGGGGGATGTCCTGTGCACAGCCCTCTTAAGGTCAGTCCACAGATTTTCTGGATTGAGGTCCAGGCTCTGACTGGGCCATTCCAGGACATCGAGCTTCCCTTTTTTTAAGCCATTCCTTGTTCAAGTTCAAGTTTCAAGTTTATTGTCATTACACTCATATACATGGTATATGGTATAATGAAATGCTATTTAGCTAGCTCTCGGACATAAGTAGTACAAAGAGGAAAAAAAACAACAACAATACAATTGTGTAGGAAAAGAAAGA